CCCCCCCCCCAAAAAAAAACATGCTTCTCAACCTTGCCAGTTTTAAGATAGGTGGACTTCAACTCCCAGAATGCCCCATCCAGCCCTTTGGCTTTCAAGATAGACTCAAAAAGGACACCCACACACAGAACGAAAGCCGTTCCCTTGAAGGGAAGATGAAAACGCAAGCCAACCATACTCTTGGGAGCCTAGTGGGTGGGGAATTCTGGGAGTTGAAGTCCATGCTTCTTAAAATCGGCAAGGCTGAGAAACGCTGCTTCCTATTAAAATTTTTGAAAATAAGGATTTTTTATTCATGCTTTCTAGGAAGCAAAAACCCCTGATCTTTCTCTTCTAAGCACATGCCACCATATAGCACTAGGGAATATGTAGGATTGGTTAGCTTTTTTAAAAAAAAAAATCTTCCTGGCTGGATATATAGATATATAAGCTTAAATTCCTTAAATCCTTCTGTGTTGTGCAGGAAAGTAAAGAAAGGTAATGCTTCAGTACATAAAGACCAGCTCTCTCGACTAAAGGAACGAGATCCTGAATTTTACAAGTTCCTGGAAGAAAACGACAAGACTTTGCTTAATTTTGATGAATCTGACAGCTCTGATGAAGAGGAAGATCATCACGTGTTGCCTGAAAAATTAGAGGTAATTAATTATATGTATAAATATACATACATACATACATATATATGCACACATACACATACATACAACATACACTCACACGCACATTCTCTTCTCTGATCAGAGAAACCAATTTCTTTTTATTCCCAAGAAAACTTCATGACTGTATCCCTGTGTTACTCATTTCAGGCTAAATGCTTTTTTAAAAAAATTTGATAGGAAGCAACTGATGAAGAAGATGATGAAGATGATGATGATGAAGAAGAAAAAACAGCTAAACGGAAAAAAATGGATTTCATCACCGTGTCATTGAAAATGGTGGAACACTGGAAGGAAGCTGCAGAGGTAAGAGAGAGATTTTTTTTTTAAAAAAGCAACAATTCTTTAGGAGCTGCAAATAAGGCTGATTAAATATGGAAAGTCTTGCCCAAAATAAAGTTAAACTTGATTTTCTCTGTCTCTTTCTAACCATAGTATTTAGAATAGAATAGAATAGAATAGAATAGAATAGAATAGAATAGAATAAAGAAATTATGAAATGGAATGAAGAATAGAATAGAGTAGAATAGAGAATAGAATAGATTAGATAGATTGTTGGTCTTCTTCTTCTTCTTTTTCTTCAGCGTTTGTCTCGCGCTCTGGCGAGGTCCGCTAATGTCCTTGAGTACTGCTTCCACGCCTCTCTGTCTGCCACGTATGTCGGGTCTGCCTTCGCGATCTCTAGATCGGCCTTGATCGTGTCCATCCAGCGTTGCTTAGGTCTACCACGCGGTCTCGTTCCTCCGACAATCACCTTCATCGCAGATTTGATGATGGATTCTTCCTTGGCGCGACTCACATGGCCGAACCATCGTAGCCGGGACTGCCTTATGACCGTGGGGATGGGCACGACGTTGAACCGTCTGCGCACTTCTTCATTCCTGACGCGATCGAGTAGGGTGAGGCCTACCGACCATCGGAGCATTCGCATCTCCATTGTCTGGAGTCTGCTTTCGACTTCTTTGGTCGTCGGCCAGCACTCTGCGCCGTATATGGCCACGGGGCGCACCACAGAGTTATAGATTTTTGCCTTCAGGCGCATCGGCATCTTCTTGTCACAGAGGACGCCCGTGACGGACTTCCATTTGCCCCACGCTGCGTTGATCCTGGCTGCCACCTCAGTTTGTAGTAGGCCTTCTTCCCCAAGAGTAGTTCCCAGGTACTTGAAGGTGGAGGCGCGCGGTAGCTCCTGCCCGTTCACGTGGATGGAGCCTGTCGTTTCGTTGTCAGTGGTCAGGTATTCGGACTTCTTTAGGTTCAACCGGAGCCCGAACTGCTCGAGGCGGTCGTGCCACTGTTGGACTAGGTGCTCAAGTTCAGCCTTGCGCAGGTTGGCCAGGAACACATCATCGGCGTAGAGCAGCGTCCATGGGGCGGGCGTGTGCAGGTCGTGTGTAATTGTGTCCATCACCAGAATGAACAGCAGTGGTGAGAGAGCAGAGCCCTGGTGTACGCCGACGGTGATATTGAACTCCTCTGATATCCCAGCTGCCGCTTTTACACGGCTTTTGTGACATCTGTATAGGAGTTGGACCCATTGTACGAGTAGCTCGGGCACGCCGTGATCTCGTAGTGCGTACCAGATGAGATCGTGCGGGACTCGGTCGAAGGCCTTTTCCAAGTCCAAGAAGGCGGTGTGGAGCGGGATTTTCTTCTCTCTGTGAGCCTCCATCAGCATCCGCACACCGAAGATGGCATCGGTGGTGCCGCAGTTCTTGATGAATCCGGCCTGGTTGACGCTGATGTCGACGATGTCCCGAATGCGCTTATCGAGGACGCGTTCGAAGATCTTCATAGTGTGTGACAGTAACCTGACCGGTCTGTAGTTGGAGCAGTCCGCTGGGCTGCCCTTTCCCTTCCAGATCGGAACAGTGGTGCTGCGGTACCAGTCGTGTGGCACTATTCCCGTGGAGACGATGTTGTTGAACAGCTCGCACAGCCACAATGCCGAGCCCGGTAGTGCCTTTTTCCAGAAGTCGGCAGGGATGTCGTCTGGTCCTGTTGCCTTACCGTTTTTCATGGCCTTGATGGCGTCGGTGACCTCGCTGGCGTGAATACCTGAGACTGGGCCTTCGACGGGGTCACCTCGCGGGGTTCGTGGGTGTGGGAACTCCTCGGTGGAGATCTTCTCGAAGTATTGCCGCCACCTCTCGGCAGCGTCTCTGGGGTTGACGATCAAATTTCCCCTTTCGTCGTTGATCCCATGAAACTGGTCAATGTCCAGGGTCTTCCTGTGTCTGCTTTTGGCTAGGCGGTAGATCTCATTCTCGCCTTCTCGCGTGTTCAGCTTCTCGTAGATGTCATCGTAGTGGGAGCTTCTGGCTGTCGCTACTGCTTTCTTGGCTGCCTTTTTGGCCGCCTTGTACTCGCAGAGCTTCTCGCTGGTCTTCTCCTGAAGAAAGGCCTTGTAGAGCCGTTTCTTCAGGTGCACGGCATCTTGTACTTCCGGTGTCCAGAGCCATGTATCTCGTTCGATGCGTCTCCGTCCTGGCTTGGTACAACCAAGCTGTTGGCAGCCGGCAGTGTGAACAGTGCTCTTCAGCATGGACCACGCTTCCTGTGGCCCGTCGACCATCTGCAGGAACTGCTCCGGTTTGATGAGGGGTCCCGCCATCTTCTTCTATTAGATAGAATTAGATAGAAACAATCTATTAGATAGATTGTTGGTATTCAATTCTATTCTCTATTCTATCTTGCATTCTATCCTATCCTGTCCTATCCTACAGTATATTTTCAACTCTATACTCTCTATTCTACTCTATTTCTACTCTATTCTATCTTGCATTCTATCCTGTTCTGTCCTATCGTATCCTACTCTCTCCTCTGTATACTGTATTCTGTATTCTTTTATTTTAAAATTAATTCTATTAACTTTTTTTTTTCATTCCACACAGAAGAAACTCACTCCTAGGGTCTTCCATGAAATTACTCAAGCTTTCAAAGCCTGCGTGGTCACTGCCAAGGGGGAATCGGCAGGGCCGGATTCCGGCAAGTTCAAAGTCACGGACAGCACAGGTAAATCTTCCCAGAACCGAGCTAGCTTCGCAAATAAATAATAATAATAATAATAATAATAATAATAATAATAATAATAATAATAATAATAATAGATTAAAAAAACACATTCCATCTTCGTTGATACTTTGCCCTAAGTCGTTGGTTTGCTATAGCTGGCCTTTATTAAATGGTGAGTGTGGGCACGTTGATTTGTTTAGATTTGAGACCCCTTATTGATTATAGATGACTAGATTGAGTGTCATCTGCACCTCTATAACGGTCTGGTTTGGTTCTGCAACCCAACAAGACAGACACAGACTTCAGAGAGTAATTAGGACTGCAGAAAAAACAATGGCTACCAACCTGCCTTCCATTGAGGACCTGTAAACTGCACGAGTCAAAAAGAGGGCAGGGAATATATCTACAGACCCCTCACATCCTGAACATAAAACTGTTTCAACTGCTACCCTCAAAACAACACTACAGAGCAAATGATATGTTATAATTGATTATTATAGAATGAATTATAATATGAATTAAAATTAGTAAAAATTGAGAGTTGCTCTAAAGGATAATGCGGATTTGAAATTAAAGTAATGATGATGTAATAATAATATAAAACAACATGGAAAGTTTAATGTAATATGAATGTAAATTTAAATCTAAGAGGAAAAGACTATAGATTTTGTGCACAAGAAATATAAACCAACAAACACACTGTATAATTGAAAGAAGGTTTTAGTTGTTGTTTTATGTTTATGTTTGTCTATGTTGTTAAAAATAAAAAAAATCACTTTAAAAAAAGGGACTACCTGTATACCAGTATTTCTCAATCTTGAAAACTTTATTTATTGCTTATTTGATTGCTTATTGTACCCTATGACTACCATTAAGTGTCATACCTTATGATTCTCGACTCTTGACGAATGTATCTTCTTTTATGTATACCGAGAGTATTTACACCAAGACAAATTCCTTGTGTGTCCAATCACACTTGGCCAATGAAGTATTCTATCTATCTTTAAGATGGGTGGACTTCCAACTCCCAGAATTCCCCAGCCACCTCTTAAAAGTTGCTGGCATTGAGACAGGCAGTTGTATATAAAAGAGTTCTCTCTCACAACTGCTAAATTCATTGATGAAATGTCTCTATTTTTTTCCCCCATCTCCTGTTTAGTCTTCAACACGATTGTCTCCTTCTGTGTCCGCGACCTCTTCATTCTTGTGCAAAAACTGCTTCAGGTGAAGCCTGCAAAAAATAAATCAAAGTAAGTTAACTTTTTGTTTTTGTTTTATTCACATTTATTTGTTCTTTATTCTTTCTATCTAGGAATTTGCCCACCATGCAAAATTGACTATTCCTTCAATTCCCAATGTCCCTTTTTAATCCATCCTGAGCAGAATAGTTTTTTAAACTATGAATTTAGAAAACTATACATCCCTGTGGGCATGTGATCAAAATTTGAATCTTGGCAATTGACTCAATTAACAACTCCAGTGATTCACGTAACAATTCTGGCAATAAATGTTATAAAACGGGGGAAAATTCACCTAACAACTATCTTGCTTACTGGTGGAAATTTGGGGCTTAATTGTCATATATCGAGAAGTACCTGCAGTTTATTTAAACCTGCAGCAGTTTTATTAACCCTGCCTGTTGAATTGCCTAATTCGAGTTCTTTTATGGCCTGGTTTGTAGATTGTTAACTCGGTTTACCATTCAGTATCCTGGCAGAGGCATAGAAATAGAATGAATGAGCTGGAAGGGACCTTGGAGGTCTTCTAGTCCAGCCCCCTGCTCAAACAGGAGATCCTATAATATTTCAGATAGGTGGCTGTCTAGACTTTTCTTAAAAGCCTCCAGTGATGGAGCGCCCAAAATTTCTGCAGGCAAAGCTGTTCCACTGGTTAATTGTCCTGACTGTTAGGAAGTTTCTCCTTAATTCTAGGTTGCTTCTCTTCTTGATGAGTTTCCATCCATTGTTTCTTGTCTTATCCTCTGGTGTTTTGGAGAATAATTGAGCCCCTCTCTTCTTTGTGGCAGCCTCTCAAATATTAGAATACTGCTATCATATTCCCCCCTAATTCTTCTTTTTTTTAGACTAGCCAAACCCAAATCCTGCAGCCATAAAATAAGTTAATCTTATTCCCAGGACGAGGAATTGATTTTCGGTGTCAAAACCAAAGGCCTAAATGCATCTTGTGGTGCTACCACTGTTGCTAACCCCCCCACCCCAAATAATTTGCAAAACAACTAAACCTTAGAACATTGGATAGCCGACAGGGCCAGGGTTGAATTTTCCATTCGGACAGCAAAGGCTCGCAGTTGGTTAGAGGACAATTAATCCCTTTCAAGCTGGCATGTGGGTAATAATTTGCAGCTATCCGATCCACAGAGCATCGTGGGAACTCAGAGGTCTGGATAATGATACATCTCTATATATGGCTTGCTTTGCATGTGACCTTAGCTGACCGGTACTTTTGGCTGAGTTTCTGAGCTGGGTCCACATGATAGTTGGGGACACTACACATCGTTTTCAGGACCGGTTTTCCTCGTTACCTTTTGGGAGGGGGCTTCGTGATACCCGAAGCGGACTATCCAGATTCAGTTTTGTTTGATAGAGCATCAACCTTGTGAACTCCTCAAGTTTCTCTTTTCCGCTATGTATTCAAAATGGACAGTGATTAATAGATACAAGTGTATATAACCTGTTTCCCTGAAAATATGACCTACCCTGAAAGTAAGCCCTAGCTTGATTTTTTTTACACATGCGCCCAATTTAAGCCCTACCTCCCAAAATAAGCCCTAATTAAGATCCTGCCCACTCCAGGGTGGGGATGGGAGTAGTGGAGCTGCCCTACTACTTATCTTTGGACAGTTGTAGCCAGGCCTCGCACCCTCCGACACCTGCCTTGCCGGCCCATTTCTTCTGCAGCCGGCAAGGCTGGCCAGGCTTTCCTGAAGGCCTCTGTCACTGATAAGAAAGCTCTGGATCGATCCAGAGCTCTTATCGGCTGCAGAGGCCTTCAGGAAAGCCTCGCCAGGCACAGAAGAAGTTCCTGAAGGCCTCTGACAGTGAAAAGGAGGCCAGGGGTGATGCACGCAAGTGAGGTTAGTCAGTGGATCCCCTGAAAATAAGACCTGGTGCCTTTTTTGGTGGGTCTTATTTTGGGGGAAACACGATATATATGTATGGGTGCAGGTATATATTTATTTTCTACCTTGAATTTTAAATGCATCACAGGCAAGAACCTTTCCTGGTTGAACAGCAACTAGCCCAGTTGAAATTCAGTCATATCAGTCGTATCAGAGAAATGACTTCCTCTGATATGACTATCAATTCAGTCATATCAGAGAAATGACAGCTTTTAAATTCACATATTTGCTGTACTAAATCTTATCTTCATTCATTGATTTAGATTAGTCTTGCCTTCCTCCAGTCCATTGTGGAGCAAGTTACGATTGGACATCAAAATGCACTTGGGCTGTACCATTCAGGTGAGTTTAAGTGAGGGTCAAATTTGGTCTTTTTTTTATATATTGGGCATATCTCCCTGTTTTTGGAAGATTTTTTTATACCTATAGAAGAAAATATTTGTAAGTCAGGTGTGATTTGCAGGTTCCTATTTGAGCTTGGTGGTTTTCTTGCAGATGTTTCAACTACCAAACTAGGTGATGTCATCAGTGCACTGAGGCAGGAGCTGGGGTGGCAGAGTGGTTGGAATGCAGCATTGCAGATTTACTCTGCCCACTGCCAGCAGTTCGATCCTGACTGGCTCAGGGTTGACTCAGCTTTCCATCCTTCCAAGATCAGAGAAATGAGGATGCCAGATTGTTTGGGGGCATATGCTGATATTTGTAAAGTGCTCATTGTTGTAAAGAACAAAGGAGCAGTATGTAAGTCTAAGTGCTATTGCTATTGGTCATAAAATGTCTGCAAGAAAACCACCAAGCTCAGAGAATAACATGGACTCCACTGGTTTTTCTTCTTCTTCCCTGTTTCTAATGAAAGAGCATTGGACAGAGAGAAAATCCCCAGCGAGTCCATAGTTTGACTTTCAACTGGTAGGAATCACAGAAATGCAACATTTAAAAAACCATAGTTAAACAGGGCAGAAGGGATGCCTATGCAGATTCTCAGTCATCCAGGCCATGGTTGTTCCATAGGTGCTTTTTCAACAGGTAACTGAACTTCCTTTGTTTTTCCTTGAAGACATTTTGCTTCTCATCCCAGAAGCTTCTTCCTGTCATGCTCCCGTTGGAGTCTGAATCCGAAGAGGAAGACGAACAGCTGACAGGGAACGGGAAAGTGGCTTTGTTGGCTATGGAGGAAATTGGGGAAGGGCAAAGTCAGGCTGGACAGAACAGGGGAGAGGTAGAACAAGGGAGAGGGGGGTCAGAGGAAGACCAAGGCCTACCCCCTCCTCATCCTAGGGCACGCAGGAAAGAACGGAGAAGAGCAATGTGGGTTGTGTGGCTTCCGGGGGAGGAAAGGGCCCTGATTCCCTTCACAAGGCATACCTGGGGATGGAGTTTAAAGGAGAGGCAGTTGGGAGTGGCGTTCGTCGGGAACAAACACTGAATTCATCTAGTATGGTGAGTTTTAGCCTGTGTTCCTGGTACTCCTCCTGTCTGTGAATTATAGCCGTGCTTCTGTGTGCTTATTTGCCATGATGGAATTATTGGACTCATTATTTTGCCCTGCTGGAGTGATTGATTGCAGTCATTCTGCTTACAGCGTTTGGGACTGGAGTATCTGCAGCCAGAGGCTGTTGCAGGTTCGTGGGAGAGCTTTTCTTCAGGCCGGAGAGTAACCGGGACGTTGGGAGCAAAGTTGGAGCAAATAAAGGGACTCATACCTATTATCTGGCTGTCTTTGCCTTTATGCCATACCCCGGTTTATCACATTTCTGTTCTGACTGAATTCTTCCATTCGCCAGCGTTCAGGCAGAACGGAAGAAGCTTCTTGGATGAGAAGTGAAACGTCTTCAAGGAAAAAGCCCAGTTGCCTCTTGAAAAAGCACCTTTGGGACAGGGGCAGGGGGAAGCGTAGGCAATTTGAAATTGCTCAGCCTTTCAGCCATATGGATGAAAATTTTGTCTTTTTTTCTTTCTTTCTGCAGCTTCTGTCGTGTTTAACCCGGACCTCAGTAACAATAGCTGTTCTTCAGCACATCAGTGCCATTGTGCCTTATTATTTAAGCTTCCCCAAACAGTCTCGCATGCTACTTAAGGTAAGGTCCATAGCAGGGCTGGCCAGAAAGTGCAGGAATAAGATTTAAAGTTGGATTCCCCCTTATTCAAATTGGGTTCCCTGGCTTTCAGTCCTAGACAATGGGTTCCACAGCAAACTTTTTTTGGCTTGGGTTTTTATTTAAAATTAATTAATTAGATCTTTATTCCACCTTTATTATTTTAATCAATATCTCAAGGTAATAAGTGTATTCATATTCTCCAATGGGACACATCCATAGCCAAGAGTCATCAGTCGTGCTCTCCAGTTAGAATTTTGCCCAGCAGAAACTTCAATCACCTAGTTACTATCTTTGAAAACATTTATGGAATGCACTTCTGGTTTTGCAAGCTCTAAAAAGACCAGAGAAATATTTTATGAGTTGACATTAAGATTACCTGGTCAATTGCTAAAGCAAATCTATACAATGAAGATGGCATTCTTTTAAGTTTTCAATCTTGGCAACTTATGGACTTCAACTCCCAGAATTCCCCAGCCAGCATGCTTTAAGATGTATGTACTACTGGGAAATTCTTGGAATTGAACTCCACACGTTTTATAGTTGCCAGGGTTGAGAAATGCTGTTTCAGGCCATAAAAAGGGTTGAAATTTAGTGGCATTGCCTTGATTGGCACTTGGGGGGGAAAAATGCAGTTTCTAACCCTAGAGGCGTCTCCTTCTGAAAGCAAAACAAAAATTGAAAATAACTTTTTTTCTTCTTCTTTCATTAAGCAAATTATTCGACTCTGGAGCACCGGAGATGAAGTTGTAAGAGTTCTAGCTTTTTTGATAATCAACAAAATCTGCCGGTATAAACAGGACGCTTATTTACCTTCTGTTCTAAAGGTAAGGTTAATAGATTAATGGATGGGACCTTGTAGGTCATCTAGTCCAACCCCCTGCCCAAGCAGGAGACCCTTACACCATTTCTGACAAAGGGTGACTGAAAACCCATAGACTATACATTCATTTTTAGGCTGGGTCAGTATTTCCCCCCTTACAAAATTAAAAACTTCAGGCAAAATTTTGCACAATAGTGTCCTCATTTATTACTGAAGACCCCTGGATTAGTGAATTTTGAGTTAAGTGAATATGAAAAACTCCATTATTTTGGAGTTATACAGGTAGTCTTCAATTTATAACTACAAAAGAGCCCAAAATTTATGTCACTAAGTTAAGTGAGGATAGTCAATGGATGACATCCCCCCAAAATAAGGCCTGGTGTCTTTTTTGGTGGCCAAAAAGCCATAAGACAGGGTCCTATTTTCGGGGAAGCACAGTAGTTGGATGAAATCATTTATGAATTCAGCTTCTGCAGCTGCCCACCTTAAAACAAGTGACTGGCCAGCCACCGTCAGCATCACCCAAATTCTCTGCCTTTGTCTTCCTTTTCCCCGTTAGCAAATGTACATTTCCTATGTCAAGAATTCGAGATTCACCTCTCCTAATGTCCTCCCGCTCATCAACTTCATGCAACGGACGCTGATCGAGATGTACACTCTGGACCCCGCTGTGTCTTACCAGCAGGCCTTCATATACATCCGTCAGCTGGCCATCCACCTGCGTGGGGCTATGACCATCAAGAAGAAGGTAGGTTTATCTGAAGGCGTGATGAACATGGCGTGAAAGCAACGCAGCCAGAGAATAGGTCTTAACTCCCCTAAATATTTTTAATCGTATTCTTCATCCGGAAAGATTTGTAGTATGCAGTTTACAGCAACACTTTGTCATCTAACAAGTTGGAGCGCAAAAGGAAAAGTGGAGGAGGAAAAAGGAAAGCAGAAGTATCTAACCATCATAATAAACCGCTTCAGTGTCAGGATTCCAGCCATCGCCCTAAATTAAATCATGATTCTCAAGCCAAACTTCAAAAAACTTCAAAGGATTCATTAGAGGAGACATACTTGCACTGTCCTGTAATGAAGCCAACTCTGGCCTACGTCATTTACAGTCCCCCTGTGACCCTGTTTCCCTCCTCCCCTCTGGGTGTGTCATAAATCAGATTCTCCAATTGAGCAGCTTCACAGGCTGGGTGTCATCAATCACGTTCCCCAATTAAATATATTTGAGGGCAAAAGCTCTGGTAGTTTAGTTACAACCTTTTAAAGAGAAGAGTTGGAATGTACTTTCGCTTCCAAACGGCTGCACTGCTCTTCCAGATTTCCTTCCCCCCCATTTTTTAAGGCAACTACTAAAACAGGCATAGGAATGTTTTATGAATTGACATTCGGATTTTGCAGCTTGCTTCATTCCATTTTCCAGCATTACTTCCTGCTTTTCTCTGTTTTTTTAAACTAGGAAAACTATCAGTCCGTTTATAACTGGCAATACGTGCATTGCTTATACTTTTGGTGCCGGGCTTTGAGTACAATGCATCCGAATGATGTCATGAAACCCCTGATTTACCCGTTGACCCAAGTCATCATTGGCTGCATTAAGTAAGTAGCTACACAATGCTTAAACCTTTGGGGTCTGTAGAGATTCTCAGTCCTCCATGTCATGGTTGCCCCAAAGACGCTTTTTCAGGAGGCAACTGAAAATTCTACAGGAAAATTCCTCACCCCATTTTCCTACTGATCAACCGTTCTTTATTTGGGATCGCAGGATACCGTCTCCAGCTCCGTTCTTTGGGGGGGTGGGGGAGAGACTTTTGGCTTCATGCAAGGAAAGCAGCAGAAGTCTTTCTTTCTCTCCCCTAAATTCTACCAGAAATGAGTCTTTGTGAGACTTGTCGCGCCAGCACAGCCTCTTGGAGCAGGAGGCCTTGCAGGGTCCCATTTCTGGCGGAGTTTGGGGGAGAGAAAGGAAGACTTTTGCTGCTTTCCTTGCGTGCAGCCAAAAGCAGAAGAAGAAAGAAGCGGAAAGAAGCAGCCCGGAGGCCAGGCCAGGCGCATGGGGCAAGTTCCTCCCCTCTGCCCTTTCCCCCCTCCCCTCACTACCTCATGTTGTTCGCAATGAAGGGATGTAAGCCTTGTGTTCCCACGGGGCATGTGGGCGGCGCAGCTTGTGTTCCCACGTAGCATTCTACTCTGCTCTACTCTACTCTACTCTGCATTCTGTTCTGTTCTGTTCTATTCTTCACTAATCTATTAGCTATTTCTAGCTTTCATATTTTTTTTTCTAGCCTTAATTTATCCCCACCACAAATTGAGTGACTGAGCTTTAATTTATCCCCCGCTGATGCTTTCTCCAACCTGACTCTCTTTGAGAGGGCAAGGAAAAACCCCGACCTGTAATTCTGCTTTCTTTCTGCTTTCTTTGAAATGCTTTCTTTTAATCCCCACCCCCATGCTACGCTGGTTAATTTCCTTTAAAAAAAGAAAAAAAAGAAACTGTTCTTCCTCTATCCAGAAGATGGTGCTAGTCCCTAGTGAGCTGAACTAGAGCAGCTGAAAAAAAAACCAGGGATGCGGGGAGCAAAGGGAATTGGGGAGCTATGACAGAAGGGAAAGCGGAGTTGCCATCTGCGACAGCTTCCTTGCTCCAGGCAGAGTCCAGGGTAGAATTTTAAATGTGCTTCAAAACAATAGCCAGGATAACTAGCAGCGTGAGGCTTGCAGGGCTGGTTTGCTTTGTGGCGGTTTCCAGAACCTGCTTCTCTCCGTGCCTTGGGGCATAGCGGTGGGTGGGCTGACTATTGTGAATTCCCCTTGTGTTGGCAGAGATGAAGGGGGGGAGGGGGCCAGCCTGAATGGTGGGGAAGGGTGCTTAACCTAAGGGGTGGGAGAGGGGAAGGAAAGCCTGCCTCGACTTGAATGTTGGAAGGCAAAGTTAAAAACGTCATCTTGGTTTTTAGCTTTTCTATCAGGGTGGCTAAAAATCGATTTTATATATATATATCTGTGTATCCGAGTGTGTGTATGTGTGTATATATATATATGTGTGTGTGTGTGTATGTGTATGTGTATATGTATATGTATATATATACACATCTACATATACACATACATACATAATAAACTGGGTGTTTTTTTTTAATTTAAATCGGGTTTTTTTTTTACTTTTATCTGATTTATTTTAATAAATTGCTTTTGGAATAAAGAAAACCTATCTAAAGAATAGAATAGAATAGTGTGGGACTTGCCTAAGTGTGGGACTTTACTTTTCTCTACACTGAATTTTATTTTGTTACATAGGGCCAATTCTGGGCTCCATCGCAGCCATAAATTGAGGACTACCTGAGTACAAACTTGTCATCACTTCCCCCCCCCCCTTTAAAATGGCATACTAAGTCCTCTGTTTGGACTGCCCATGGTTTTCAACCCTCTTGTTTTTTTTTACCCCTTTCCTTTGCCAGGCTGGTACCAACAGCTCGTTTCTACCCTCTGCGTATGCACTGCGTCCGGGCGCTGACGCTGCTGTCGGAAAGCACACAGACCTTCATCCCTGTCCTGCCCTTCATTCTGGAGGTGAGTGTCAGTCAAAATAGAATAGAATAGAATAGAATAGAATAGAATAGAATAGAATAGAATAGAATAGAATAGAATAGAATAGAATAGAATAGAATAGAACAGAACAGAACAGAATAGAATAGAATAGAATAGAATAGAATAGAATAGAATAGAATTTTTTATTGGCCAAGTCTGACTGGACACACAAGGAATTTGTCTTTGGTGCAAATGCTCTCAGTGTACATAAAAAGAAAAGATACATTCGTCAAGAGTCAGGAATCATAAGGTACAACACTTAATACCACAAGTGTCATCACAAGTGGGTGGCAGATGGTGCAATCTGTGGGAGGGTGTGTGTGTTGGTGTTTTGGGGGACTTAACCAAGCCGCCTCGGTTCGTTGCTAATTGCCAGGAAGCGAAAAAATAAGACGGTTGTGGGTTTCCCACCGCCAGTGTTGCTGCAGATGTCTGTTCATTCACCACATCCTTTTCGCTTCCTGCGTCCCCAGGACCGCTTGTGGCTTCTGCACGCCGGCCTCTCCCCTCTTTCGACCACCTCCTTCCTCTCTGCTGAGGTTCTGCCAAAAAAAGCCCCTTAACACACCACCCCTGCTTTCCTCTCTGTGTGTGTCTTTGTGTGTACAAAAGCAGCAGCCTTCTCTCCAGGCGAGCCAAAGAGGCCAAAGCCCAGACGTTTGGCAGTTTGCGCTGGTTTGGCCTCTCTGCCCTCCGTCACATGTCTCTTTCGCAGCGTCTCCTGGGTGGGAGCGGGAAGGAAACGGGGCCGTTGAAGCTGGCAGCCTTTTGGAAGAAACATCGAGGGTGCGTGCACACCCCCAACACAACCTGAGATTGCTGCAATAGAGAAACAAAAACCTCTCTCTTTTTTTTTTTTTGCACCTCTATAACTGCCTGGTTTGGCTCTGCAACCCAACAGGACAGACACAGACTCCAGAGAGGAATTAGGACTGCAGAAAATAGCAATTGCTACCAACCTGCCTTCCATGGAGGACCTGTGTCCTGCATGAGACAAAAAGAGGGCAGGGAATATATCTAGAGACCCCTCACATCCCAGACATAAACTGTTTCAACTCCTTCCCTCAAAGCAATGCTATAGAGCAGCCCTGCACACCAGAACAACTAGACACAAGGACAGTTTTTTTCCTCCATGCCATCACTCTGCTAAACAAATAATTCCCTCAACACTGTCCAACTATTCACAAAGTCTGCACTACTATTACTATTAATCTTCTCATCACTCCTTATCACCCCTCCCCTCCCACTTGTGACTGTATGACTGTAACTTTGTCGCTTGTATCCTTACGATTTATATTGACTGTTTCCTAGGATAATTTGATTGCTTATTGTACCCTATGGCTATTATTAAGTATTGTACCTGAGGATTCTTGACTCTTGACGAATGTCTCTTCTTTTATGTACACTGAGGGCATTTGCACCTTGTGTGTCCAACACACTTGGCCAATAAAGAACTATCCTATCCCTATCCTTTCCTATCCTATCCTATCCTATCCTATCCTATCTTATCCCTATCCTATCCCTATCCTTTCCTATCCTATCCTATCCTATCCTATCCTATCCTATCCTATCCTATC